CCCCTCAGGTATTTCGCTCATTAAGAATTCCCCTCTCCGCCGTCTCCTTTCAAGGCTGAACAGCCCCAGGTCTCTCAGTCTCTCTTCACAGCAGAGATGTTCAGTCCCTTGATCACCCTTGTAGCTCTCCCTTGGACTCTCTCCAGTAGGTCCCTGTCTCTCTGGAACTGGGGAGCCCCAAACCGGACACAGGATTCCAGGGCTGGTCTCCCCAGGGCAGAGCAGAGGGGCAGGAGAACCTCCCTAGCCCTGCTGGACACACTGTTCTTGATGTCCCCCAGGGACAAACTCACTGCCCACTGGGACTCCAAGGTTTCTCTCCACGGGGCTGCTTTCCAGCAGGTCGTCCCCTGATCTGTCCTGGTGCCTGGTGTTATTCCTCCCCAGATACAGGACTCTGCACTTGTCCTTATTGAACTTCATGAGGTTCCCCTTTGCCCAGCTCTCCAGCCCATCCAGATCTCGTTGGATGGCAGCACAGCCTGCCTGGGTGTCAGCCACCCCTCCCAGTTTTGTATCACCAGCGAACTTGCTGAGGGTGCACTCTATCCCCTCATCCAGGTGAAGATATTGGACACAACTGGCCCCAGCACTGATCCTTGGGGAATACCACTGGCCACAGGCCTCCAACTTGACTCTGTGCTGCTGAGCACAACCCTCTGAACTCTCTTGCTGAGCCAGTTCACAATCCACCTCACAGTCCAATCATCTGTCCCACACTTCTTGAGTTTACTTAAGAGGATGAGGGACAGTATCAAACGCAAACCTCAGCCTTCAAAGTGCTGCTCTTGCACACGAGGAGGAGTGCTTACCGTGTGGCCGCTCTCCCTGTGACGGTGGCAGCCCACCAAGTGGCATTCCTCTCCCGTGGCGCATTTTTTGGTGACTGATGTACTCTTTCCATGGTCTGTGAAGAGATGAACTGTCAAACAGTACTGAGTACCTACAAAACAACAGCATGAGAGTTTATTTGCACGAGCTCTGGACTCTTTTACAGCACTTCACACAACTTAGTGAAATGTTCCCACAAAAATGACTTATTTTGGCTGTATAAAGCCATTTTTCAACTGGATCAAAGCAAGAAAATAAGTTAGTGATAAAAGTCTTAACCGGCCCTTTAAACCTCCAAAAAGGCTGCTGTCATTTAAACTACTTATTAGCACTATAATCTAACACATTTATCTTCCATTCTCTTCTGGTTTTTGCATTACATTCTTGCTTTCTTTGTTTGGGACAGGTTTCCTCATTCCTCCAGATTCCTTTCTTCCCCTTTCCCACTGTTACTGTGAATATCACCGAAAAGAAAAACGAGGAAACACATTTCCATTCCTTTCCACGTATCTATCACTGTCTCATACAAATATGAACCCTAGTCATTCAGGTCTTGCTGCTCACAAACAAGCCCATAGCCCAGAGAGAACATTCTATCTTTGGATGGCATCCAAAAGGAAGGAGATAAAGCCACAAAGGCAATTCTTAAGTTCTTTTTAAATAGCAGCTTTAGAATTAATTCCTAGGAAGCACCGAGCTGTACATATACACACACATATATAATGGGTTAATATATTATTGATGTATTAACAATACACGTCACCATATTAATAATGAGACGTTATATATTATTTTAAATATTTTCTATAGATATGTAGAATATTTTTTCAATGCTGCTCTGCACTCTGAAACAGTCAAAACCAGTCACCTCAGCATAACCGGCATGACTCAGTATTACTAACGACGTAACTGAGGGCACGACCGTGTTGGCACATTAATCCTATTCCATGAAGACTTTTAGAAGTTGGCTGAGTCAGGGAGAAGCAAATTTAACTATCGCAAAGAATCTCCTTAGTAGAGACGCACTTACTTTCGGGACACCATCTATCTTCAGCCCATCTGTTGCAGTTGTAATTGTCCACCGCGTTGTCACACGTAAAGCACTTGAAACTGTTTGGAAACGGAGTGGCTTTAAAAGTATTAAAACACAGTAAGTTTGCAAGTATTAAGGGAAAAAAAATTAACACTGTGTTTGTACACATGCACTTACAGAAACATCTGACATACATTTACATATTTGCGATGATGAAGACAAATAAAACCCATGAAGCTGGTTTTGGTTATACCTGAACTTTAAAACACCTCCACTTGTTGTCATTCTCTCACGATGCCAAATAGCATGGAAGCAGTAGTGGGAAAAACAGGAAAGAGACAACGTCTCACGTATACGTATGCGATGCGACATCCTCGCGTACATTTGTGCAGGCACACAAACCCAAGTCTGTATTCAAATGGCTTTTGATTCTCTTCGATGGAAAAAAAGTGCACCTTCAAAACCAGCTTCAGATCTCAATCTCCAGCTCCGTCTCCCTTTGACAAAGGACTATTTTAAAATCTTATTTCCATTACATAAATAGATAGGTGATTTTAAGATGCACGGTTCCCTACGTGCACGTATCTACCTATCTGTCCTGACTGTTTTAATCATGTATCTAACGAAAATCTTCTCCCCTTATACGAAGGGATAGAACACTCCTGATGCTAGATAAGAGGGAAAAAAAAAAAAGATGCTATTAGTGACAACTGGCTTCACAGGTCTCACAAGGTTTTTAATTACCTTCAGTTTGAATTAATTGCATACAGCACACCTATTCTCTCCCTTACAAAAACGCCAACAAGATAAAAAGACAAAAACATCTGTTCTGTGTTATTTATGAGAAATCTACTGCGTAATTTGCTCTGTAGGAAGACATTTCAGAGACAGAAAAGTAGAGTAAAAGCTCTCAAGATGTGAAAGCCCTCATGCACTATTTAATTTAGCAACATGTGCAATTGTTTTCATCTGGTCAGCTTGCAAAACTCTGAGAAATAAATTAAACTGCTGTGGGTTAAAGAGTAAAAGTTTTATTCTAAACTTTTTATCCTTCACCCAGAAAGCCCAAAGGATTGGAAGAATATGGAAATCAACTAAAATGTTAAGCTACAATTGCATACACACAAAAAACCACGTAACTGTCTACTTACGGTCCAGCGGAGGCCTCACGCTGTAAAAGTTGATGTTCTCAGCTGAAACCCAATTTCCTGAAAGGATGAAGAATGGCAGAAAGGCTCCGGCGAGTGTGTGACAGAATAACAACATGCTGAGGACTGCTGTACATGAAAAGCAAACCTCTCAGGCCTAGGACAGAAAAGGAACACATTATTGAGGGGGAATCACAAAGAACTGAGCATGTAGAACGAGAAATTTCCTACGAACTGCTCCTGAAACCTTGAAAATTCAGCCCGTAGATGTATACTGTGAAGATGGCTAATGCAGGCTAGCGTGCAGCGACGAACGACGCAAAGCTGAGCAGTTACTGCCTTCTGCTGGCCAGGATCCTGTACAGAGTGCTTCAGTCAGCACAGGCTTTAAAAAGTCAAACGTTCATCTGTTTGCCCTTCTAAACAACATCTTACAGGTTCCTTGTAAGCATTCCTAAAATATCAACGCCAAAACTGAGCTCCCTTATACCCTACCTGAAACAGGACAGGATAATAACACCATTAAAGAAAGCAAATTGCAGATCAATGTCACTTTTAACACCCAAGACCAGTTCCTCACCCAATTTTGAACCATGTAGGTTTACTTCCAACAAGGTGCATCATCTGACGCATAAGCGCGCTTAACAGCGGCGCAGCATTAAAGATCATGAGCATAAATTAGACTAATTCCATTTTAAAGTGGATACCAAGGGAACGCTAGACGCCTGGTGATGGTACAGAAGGTTTGGAGAACTGCAAAGGAGAACATTCAGAGAGGTGAGATACATGTTTCGGGTGTGCTTCGCATGTTTATTTGGGGCTCCTGAACCTTCACAGAGAAGAAGAGCTAATCCATGAACATGTTGGTCGGTTTGATATTCGTTGCACACATATACACACATGCAGAGGTATGCATGGCAGCGATACTGGAGACCTGGTTCAGGTATGAAGGAAAAGCAGAATGAGCTGCAACGGCACTCCGCCCATGCAAATCCCCAGCAGGAGGAACAAGCTGGAGCGGAGGCTCCTGCCAAACCAGAGACGTTACTTTGGGCTGCCCAGGGCGTTCAGTCGGGGCTCCCTCTCCTGCACAGGAGGCACTGAGTGAATCCAACCACTGAACCCAAAACAATCCTCAAGAATACGCTGGAGAAGCCAAAGGATTTCCTTCTGTTTCTCTCTTCCCCCCGCCCCCAACTCGCACAGATGTGAATTATTTGAAATTGTTTTGCCAACAAGAAAGTTCAACTTTGCTCATTGGGAGTTTACCCATCCTACTTGAGATTTGTTTTTTTAAATCGTGGCCTCGCGAATACGTTTCAGAAGATACTGAGAAAGCCACAGCGTACCTCTACCCGCAGTGCACCTCCACGACTGCTTTCTTGGGGATGGTCCAGATTTCTTCTGACTCGAGCCCCAGATCTAAAGAAGGATTAAGAAGAAGAATCTGTGGGAAACAAGCAACAACCGATCCTCTTAATTCTGTCCAGAAGGAATTAATTAGTTGAAACACTCTATGTCTTTATTTATACTGAAAATGAAGATACCAACCTAGAAGGTGGTAGTTTTTTGTAACCCAATATCCAAAGAAGCTCTGCCCTACTACAGCAATGCAGATTCCTTCCTCTCTGTGAAACTCAATGTCATAAAAGCCAAATGAAAGAAAAGAGCAAAGAACGAGAGTGTTCAGTCCTTCCAGGAGGATGAGTTTATTCTCTTGCAGAGGAAAAACATTATCCAGGCAATGACCTGGGTGGGACCAGACTATACCAGATGAATATATATTTCACACCCTACAGATACCCAAATTTTCACCACATGCTACAGCCAAAATAGAAGCACTAATGAGCAGGAAGGTAACCTACAAGAGCCAAGACATCAGCCTCCAGATTAGAGGTTATTAGCCAACTATGAAGTAAGCAGGTCCCCCACAGCTCACACCTTACTGCAACAGAAACAAAAGCACGTTGGTCAAAACCCTAACACCACTGCAAAATCCAAAATAAATTTAAAATTTACATTCCTCTCCAATTAAGCACACGATATTTGCACAGTGACATTAGGCAGCATTAAAGACAAGCTGTTTCCAACAAACTCGACTTGTCTCACTAACACATACTTCGAGATGCACATCTTGAATGCACAACTAGTTTTAGTATTGTGTTGGGTTTGGTTTGGGTTTTTTTCATTTTGTTAAGAGACAAACCTGTGCATGACTAGATGCTTTTCAGCTGGCAAGTCACCCCAGGTCGTGTTCTGTCATGGAGCTGCTGCCTACAAAGTCTGTCTCAAGACCCTTTAGTGTTTTCCAAGACAGATCAGCAGAATGTGGCATCACCCAGGACAGGAGAAAGGGAAAAGAGGAGACAGCACTGCTGCTGCAGTTCATGAATGATCCAACATATTATGGACCTTGATTTCTCCATCCAAACACAGAATGATGACATGTTTGGTCTGACTTGGTACAGCCCCTCGTGCTTATACCCACCCGATTCATCCCACCAGTCTGCAGAAAAAGCTTAAAGCTACTTTTAACAGCACGGCAGAATTTTTACACATTTCCTCACCTCCCCCTGCTCAGCCTTTCCACTCGGAGGAAGATGAAAGCAAGGGGGTGGCACAGTCAGTAATGCTGCACTGAAAAAAAAAGACTGTTTGGGAGCTCCTGTGCCCTATGCCAGGGTCCCCAAGGTGGTGCCCAAGCCCTGGGAGGGAGCAACGACTGGTGCCATCTCAATCTCTGTATCCTTTGCTAGGACACCATAAAGTGTCTTTAGGTACAGAATAAGTACTAGCTCAAAACCAGAACTGCTACATACTTAATTTTATTAAAATACTTGAAAAAAACCCCCAGAAACTGATACCAACATGTCGAGTTAAAAACAGAGTAACTCCAGCACAAGTAGGTGCCAGTTTTCAGAGCCACAGGTTCCTGATCCTAATTACCTTGTTCTGGTATCCCTGGGCAAGCAGATCCAGGTTTCACTGACTCCAGTCAGGCAGGATCAGGCCCCTGATGCACACAGGCTGCTTGAGCACTGCTGCTAAGAGCGTGAGGAAAATCCCTTCTGCGCCTCTAGCGCCAACATCCTGATTCACAGATCCCTCGCAAAATAATTCTATTTGTGCCCTTTCAATAGCTCAGGCAAGTTACTTTTAAGTTGGCAAGCCAGTTTTAACCAAATAGCGAATTTCTGTGTATTTCGGGCAGCTTGAGAGCATTTAACTCTGTCAGTTTTACCCTGTAGATAAGACAGTGTATTGGAACATCTCAGTGCATCGCAGTTTATGCAAAATTTATCTCCTTACCGTGTATTTCCTGCGGTTTCTACCAGGTTGAGGAAAATCTGCCTTTATGGGGAGACTGGTCTGTAACTTGATCTGATGCACCTGGATAGCAAATAAAAGGCACAATTACACTCGTGCCAGCTCTCCACAAATTCAAGCTCGCTCCTGCTCCCCACCCCCCAAGTTCCTATTGCTTTCCCCGCAGAAGGTGATGCCAAATGGAAAATTTTAGGGTATATAAATACAAAGAAAGGCCAGCCTTCAGTTGGTGTGAAGCACAGTAAATTGACCTCACAGTTTGCTGTAGTCAAAGGTGTCCTTGTTTGCTAACGAGGCCAATAAATAATGGATGTCATCTGACGTACTCTTAGTTACACAGCTGCGCCAGAAGTCATTCTCAAATAAAATGCAAAAATATTGGGCCACAACATGGCTGTCAGATCTTATCCAAAATCTTCTGAGTGCTTATTTTCTTCCTAGTCTCTTATCTCTGCTGTGCTTTCATACAATTTTATCTAATAGCATGAACAAACATTCCATTATGCCCAATTAGGAACTATGATTAATGAAGGAAGAAAAAAATTGTCATAATGCAGAAGATTAACTTACATAAACGAGCGAACACAAAGACAGAGTTTTCCTGGGGTGAGGGAAGAAGATCCAAGAGGGAAGGGCTGGTAATGCGTGGTCTGCAAAGAACTTGGAACTAAAGCCCGTTTCAAAAGAACAACAAGGAATATAATGGCTGAAATAATTAATATACTCCAGAAGGTTTTAAGATTTAAGAAGAGCAGGAAGCAGCGTGCTGGACTTCTGATTTTAATAAAATTCAAGTGTGTCTACACTGTTTTTCCTGGCAGACTTTTGCGGAGGATTATGAGATTTAACATCAGATATGGCATGCAAACGACACTTCCTCCTGTCATTTAGCAAGCAATTTTCAGGTGCTATTAGATAATTGCAAATGCTTATGTTAAGCTTGTTAAATACCACTTCAGGACATAAGAGTTAGAAATACATAGGCAGAAAGGTATGTAAGCCAAGGGCTGAAAAAGTTAAAACCAACACCTGACATCACTTCAACTTATCTGAAAAAATTAAAAAAGCTCCTTGGCTTCCCCATTTCTTAGACAAACACTGCCATTCTCATGTTTTCCTCTGGAGAACACTGAATTTGATCTGTAAGCCACCGTTTACCCCACTTCAAAACTCAGCGAGCAAATACAAGAAGAAACTTTCTTTGGGTAATAGGTGGAGCACATTTAAAAAAAAAATGGGGGAGAAAAGGAAATATTTTGAAATATTAAAAAAGCCCAAAATACAGATCTGCAAATTAAATCTGTTTGCTATACAAGCTCTACTTCTTCTTACCTACCGAGTTTAAGCCTATTACATTAGGATTTTTGGCCTTAGAGCATGTTATCACTAGTGCAGAATAACAGAGGAAAACAGACTTTACATCACACTGACAGACATGTGCTATTAGTAATTTAAATTTTATTCTGTCAGTGTTATCAGTGTTATTTTTAAACACAACACATGTCTTCATCTCCACCCAGAGCACACTTAACCATGCCTGGAATTAAATTTGGTCTTAATTATGAGAAATTAGAGAGTTCTTTATCTAAGACCTTACGAAACACATCCGCATCTGGTAACGGCACCATCACTTAGCTCGGAGTATAACGCTGGGAACTGACTGACTACACAACATGAACAACTGCAATGATTCTGAAAAAAAGAACGTATGATTAATGTAATAAATACGGGAAGTGCCACCAAAGCGTGGTCTTTACAAGGGTAAAGCGTGGATTTGTCTTCAAGCTCGCA